ACTTTCCACGATCTACAATTAAAAAATCCTTTTAAAAATGGAAACGAATCTGGAAACTATAACTCTAATTTTTTTTTGTTTTTTTGGAATAATAATATAAGGAATTATATGTCCTTGGCCTAAAAATGAAAGAACTCTTTCGCAATAAAAAATGGCGTAATTCTTCGAATATGGTTCCATATTCTATCTTCTCATTGACCTCTTTAATTCTCAAATAAATGTTTGAGTCTGAGAGGGCGATAAAATATATTACATAATATAAATATATTGTAAATACAATTTCTCAGTCGTATCAGAAGCTGAACGAGTAAACGTCACCCAACACAATCTCAAGAATTTTCGCAATGGTGTCTAGCGTTACTGCTCGTGTAGCTTTCCTGATCGGGGTGCACGGTTTTGACGAAATTCAGCATACATGTGCTTGGCCGATGAATATGCTGGGCGAGATTTGCCGTAAAACTTATCAAGCCACTGATCTGCATTAACGGTGTATTTTCCCATTAGAAAAACTTGTTTGTAGGTAGCATCACATTTCAACATTTTCACATAAAACTTGTTAATATTCTAGTTAAGGTTAGTACTCTACTTGTGTTTGTGCTGGGATCTCTCGATCCAGATTAAAACTTTTCAGCACATGAAAAAAATTTAACCAGGTCTAAAATGTTTTAGGAACCACACAAATTGTTGATAACTTTCGCATTATTTTATTTGAAACCAAATATAATTCTATCAAGGAAAGAGATTAAAAACATTTATTATAAAATTGATAAGTAGTGTATCTCCAATTTTGTGGTTAAGCTAAATATAATTAATGATCTTAAGGAAATAGATCTGTCAGACAGAAGGAAAAAAATTACTTAGATTTGTAATATAAAGTAATGGAAAGAGAAAGTGAAGACTAGGTTTTCGGGTCAAGAGTTTATGAACACCGAAAGCAGATTCGCTTAGATACCATTTCTTACTCTGTGGACCGTCAGGTTTGTGTAATTTTATAGTTCAAATTTACGGCTATATTTCGGAAGGCTTTTTCAAACTCCTTAGCGGTGGCACAAATTATTAAATATTTGATTTAGTTTTAATATCTTGGTAGGTGGCATCCTTAAGACAAAATTTAGTTAGATATGTTTCAAAAGCTTCCGAAAGAGTCCCATATTTTATACACATATGTTGTATTCTAACTTACTCAGATTTATATTTTTCGATACACGGCAACTTTATTATGAAGCAGTTTTTTCTAAATTCAGTAGTTGCATTAGTTGATTTTTAAACTCATCACCCGTGATTGTTAGTTTGACACAAAACCTTTATTCGAAGTGGAATGCACCTTGCGTGTTACCCACGAACATCTTTCACATTTGACAACCAGTTATTAGACAACGTGTTCTGTAATTATTTGAATTCATCATATTTATGATTTATTCATATAAAATACATATCTAGATAAAAATATCCATACATATTACATATTTATGTGCAATCAATATGCAGTTAATCTCATTAATATTATGCTCAAGACCCATCACTTGATTCTCGTCATTTGTGTAAGCAATTAAGCTGTTGTTGGAAATTTGAATTTAAAATGTTCAGACATACTAACAATTTTTATTTATAACTACATGCATGTGTATATTTATTAAGAAATATGCTAAAAATTTCCTCACATTTCGAAAGCATTGTGAATTTCATATTACCGCGCTGAATGTTTAAAAATAAGAATTTATAGCGTTCATTAATTAAGTTTACTTCATAGCAAGTTGCATGAATTTAAATATAGCAAATACTTATGTACAAGTATACATATTTTATATATGCCTGTTTATAGATATACTTATATACATATTTTCACATGGCAACTTGTATGTTGACAATGGATATTGTAAAATAGAATAAAATTTCTTTGGAAAACACAATAAAATTCGAATCGTTTATAATCCAAAACAACAACAACACCAGCATGCATTTTTACGTGCCTAAAAATATCCCCTGAGGATTTTCTGCCACAACAAATTAGGCTGACAATGATTAGCCCCTACCAGCGCCACATTTCAGCTTAATCGCTAATGGTGGCATATTTTTTTTCTCACTCCTACTACGTAAAGGATGATAAGCAATTGGTTTTTGTACTCTGTGTTCTTTACTTAACATACATTTTTCACTTATTTCACATTTCACTTTTTAAATGTAAACAAAAAACGCTGAAAATTCTATAAGCACATCTATCATTTGTCAAACTTAGCGAGAGCTCTGTGAAAATTGACAAATTAGCTCGATAACTTGTATGTATATAAATATATACATATCAACACTTATATATATCTAAATATTGTACATAGAGTTCGTATGAGGTCCAGTGCATTGTACTGCTTTCAGCTGTTCAAACATTTTCGGACATAATCCATTTGGAAAGATCAGTAGTTACACACGTTCCATATATGACATATTTTGCGATTTAGAAAATTGAACAATGACTGGTTCTCGATTATTAATGATACATTGAACTTATTAAATGCCAATTGTATTTTAAGCCCTTTTTGTTGTGTTTGATGCCTTCGTAGGTTCGGAAATTGGTGCTGAAACTAAAACTTTGTCACTTTCGCCAGAAGCTGCACTAGAGTACAATAGTTTTGTACTAAACAAATGAGCAATTGATGATATTTGGTATAGAATTAGCAAACGCAAAGCTACTTTAATAAATGGGAGGGAAGAACCCCATATATCTCCATTGCTTAGTTACGATTTCTTTCAACATTATAAGCTATGGTGCCAAAAAGTATCCAATTCCTACCCGCACAAATAGTAAGGTTAATATGATATCAAAAACAAAAAAAAACAAACGTTAACTTCAGCTCCATCGAAGCTATAATACCCTTCGCAGGTGTATTATTTAGTGATCCGATCTAAACAATATATCCGAAGATTGTAGCAATATTTTCGATAATAAATGGCACAGATCGTGAAGATATCTCGTCATATAAAAAAGTATTTCATACAAGGATTTGATTTTGATCTGTCAGTTTGTATATCAGCTATGTGCCATAGTTATCCGATTTTGGCGGTGCCTACAAAATGAGCAGTCTCTTGGAGAAAAAAAACCGTGAGTAACATTTGAGATCGATATCTCAAAAACTGAGGGAATACTTCGCGTATATACAGACGAGCGGACAGATAGACAGGGCTTAATCGACTGTGGGTCATTACGCTGATCATTTATCTACATACTTTGTACTTTGCTCAAACTTTGCATACACTGTTAGGGTTTAATTAGGGAAATTAGTAAACATTTTCGTCTGTTAACAAATTTTGTACAAGTAATTCTTATTACGAGAATTCCTCTGATCCTTGATCCCAGATAATGTATATTAATCACACTTATAAATTGGTGCGCATCTTTGGACAATTAGTACTTAAGCAGATCTTATTGAGTTAGCTGGAGTCATTTATTTTTCAGCGTAAATTTAATACTTTAAAATTTCTATAAGAAAGCTTGTGTCGTCAGAATAAATAAGTAACTCAAAAGCTGAGCCTGAAATATTTAGGACAATGAGGGAAAGCTCAAGCTAAACCTAGCGATTGTTTGGTATATATAATTCTGATTGGTCTAAGCACGTTGAGCGTAGTAATTACAATTAAGTGCCCACTCTTCCACTTCTAATTTTGCTTCTTATGTTCTGCGTGGGATCGAGAAAAATGATGGATGGATATAAGTCGCTCCAGATTTTGCTGTGGTTGAACTTTATGACAGTCAGCTATTTTAAGGTCGAAGGTGCGCGGTGATCCTCGAAACCGATCTCCGGTATCTGCATCTAAGAAAACTTTTAGTTGAATATTTGGAATTGATCCGCAACAATCAAGCTAGAAAAACTAGAAGACAAACAACTTATGGCCAATAAATACTTTTTTATCTCATTATCATTACAGGTACATTAAATGAGGGCATCTGTCTCGCCTCTTATCTTCATTCGATAAAATGATTATACAAGTCAACATTATCAATGACCCATTCACCCATTGTGTATATTTTCTTACAGTGTATGGAAATTGTATAAATATTTATTTCATCTTGATTTCGTTAAGCTTCGCAAACCACTACAAAATATCTTGGATAAATTCATACAATACAGTACAGTGGAGAATCCAATGATTTTACAGTGTTTTTCACAAAATACCTTGTTGTTATTGTAATCGTTGTTTGCGCATCGGAAACAATTTTTATTGTCCATATATACACACGTACTTGTATGTACATTTCATATGTATATGCGGTTAACACCAACGCTTCTTTCGTTGCTTTTGCTCTTTTTGTTGTTGTTGCATTTGCTGTGTTTGCGGCCTTTCATTTGACTTTTTCCACACTATGGTTGCCGTTAATATTTTTGTAGAGCGTTGCCGCGAAACCGATGAAAGCCATTACTTAAGTGTGGCTGTGTGTGCGCCTTTGTTATGGCTGTCGTTTGGAAATTTTTATGGGGCGTGCGAAACTGCAGTCGTATGTGTGTGTTTCTGTCTGTGTAACGACCGCATATGTATGCGGTTGTGGATCCTGTGCGGGCGTTCGAATGGATGTTTATTGTTGCCTTTATGGTGTATGTTAGACATTTTTGTTGTACAATTGGCAACCGAACCAACCGAACGACGGAGAGGGGCGATAGGTTGCTCTTGGGTGCAGTGAAATTGGGCTGCTATACTTACTTCTGCCCGCTTTTAGTACTCAATAGTTCTAAATAGCTAGCATGGAGTGGTTATATTATATATACATATGTATGTAGGTGTGTATACAATTTATGTGCGGCAGTTGTTGTTGGCCACTTTTACACTAAACGATTTAGATGTTTTAAATACTTTTTGTAGTCAAAACTAATTTGTTGAACTAATTTCAGTTGAGTATCGCCCGCTGAAGAGCCCAATTGTCCGTCTGTGAGGCAAAGTAAAAGTCAGTTTTGAAAAATCAAATCAAAAACCAAGCCCATCCACCGGACATCACCGCAAACACACAACCAAGCCAATATGAGTGATACATTTATTGTGAGTGAAAGCGGAAAGAATATTAATTTTTTACTACCTAATTTATTAATTAATTAAAATGAGCGAAAATCATAAATTTCGCATGAAATTTTGTTCACACCTTCGAAAACAGGTTTTTTCGCTAGAATTTTTTTAGTTTTTCTTACTTTTTTGAAATGAAATGAGTTTACAAATAAAAAAGTGCGCCTGTATGGGTGTATTGCATTCAAGCATGTTGTTAATATCCATGTGAAATTCAAAAACCATTATAAAATTCTATTAAAAGCATAAGAATGAATTTGAAAATAACAAAAAAAAAAATAATGGAAGAAAAAAATTTGGAATAATGAAAAGCGCGCAGAATTTCACAGCAAATGTGAGACGTCGTTTGTCGTTGCAATCATTCTGTTTTTGAATTCGGTCCGCATTGCAACACACAGAATTTCTAAGAAGACATAATGGTACGCCAGCAATTAAATACAATACTAAATTTTTTAATTTAACAGTTAGCAACTGCAATTATTTTGAGTGTTTGCGAGCCAAAATTTTATTTAATAATTTGCAATTATTATCCTTACTGCAGGATGAGGATCTGACTCCCGAACAAATCGCCGTGTTGCAAAAGGCCTTCAACAGTTTCGATCACCAAAAATGCGGCAGCATCTCAACTGAAATGGTCGCTGATATTTTGCGCCTCATGGGTCAGCCCTTTGACAAGAAGATCTTGGAGGAGCTCATCGATGAAGTTGATGAAGACAGTGAGTGTCCGCTAAACTGAAGTTTAAGTGAATTGAAATAACATTTATTTTCCTGCTGTCACACAGAGTCTGGTCGCTTGGAATTCGAGGAATTCGTTCAACTTGCCGCCAAATTCATCGTTGAGGAGGATGACGAAGCCATGCAAAAGGAATTGCGTGAAGCCTTCCGTCTGTACGACAAACAAGGCAATGGCTACATTCCTACCTCTTGCTTGCGTGAAATCTTGCGTGAATTGGACGATCAGCTGACCAATGAAGAGTTGGACATCATGATTGAGGAAATCGATTCTGATGGTTCCGGCACCGTCGATTTCGATGGTAAGTGCAACTTTTGTTAGCAGCGTTTGTTGTGTTTGATAAAAGTAAACAAATAACTTTATTGATCTTAAGGAATGAGTGAATTTAAGAAAAGCTCTGGGAATGGTATTTCAAGTTGTTTAAAGTGCCTTAAGTGATTGAAAGAAATTAAGTAAAATTCTCTCACTATGAGATTAGTTATTTTTGGAGAAACTTAGTGGTTTGACTTGTTCTGGTGTCATGAGATTAGAATTTAGCAGTATGGAATCGTCAAAATAATTTTTAAAGCAGTAGAGAATGTTACGGATAAACCTGTAATGATATTAAAACTAAAACTTAATCTTTTGCTGGAATTTCGTTTATAGTCCATAACAGTGAATTTAGTAAAGGTTAATTTACTCGAATCTAAAAAAAAAAAAAGGTATTATATTTGACTGTTCAGTTTAGTCTTGTTTTTATTTCTTACAATTAAATTGAACTATCTGGATTAACTTTTCAATTTGCAATTTATATATTATTAAGTTTAACAAGTAATCCTTTTGCACGGAAAACCTTTCTAGACAAGTCAATTAATCCAAATATCCACGTTAATCACGTGATTAAGTTTCGGTTTGTACAACATTTTCGTGGCAAATTAACTTTTCTTTCCGTTTCGAAAACAACTGATTTACGCCTGGCGCTGCTATATATACAGCCTTTGACATCTAAATTTCTAACTCCGGCCCTTAATTTTGCCATTCCGCTTTCAGTTGTTAATTTTCATGAAATCTTAGTCTTAAACATTATTTTTTAAATAAATGCTGAAATCAGAACTGTGTGTCAAAGGCAAATTGTTTGCAGTCACTCCAAATAGATGAACTAATTAGCATCAGTTTATTATTATTTTTAAATAGTTGCCCCAATTCAGTGAGCCATTGGAAGTTATTTCGTATGCGTCGCATAAATATTTAAAATATTGTTTTTCAAATAAATTTTGGCTTCATGCCAGCACTGAAATCTAGCCGATATTCTCTCATTTTATTTTTTGTTTTGACAACTGTTAAATCTTTTGACATTGACGTGAGAAGTAAAGTTGAAGGAAGCGCCGTTTTGGGATTCGGAGATTTTGATTGGCTCTGGATGTTTACATAAATGTAGCTGGCTTCAAGGACACACACAACAAGCATAAAATCGAACTACTCAATGAGAGCACTAGACTTTATCGGGAAAGTTGTACTTCCTAGTATACACGTATATATGTATATTGAAGTTGTATTTAAACCCTAAACACGGTATATTAAGTTTGTCACGAAGTTTGCAACAATGAGAAGAAAATGTCCGAGACCCTATAAAATATATACATTGTATGTAAATGCTTAGTACAAGGAGCTGAGTCGATTTAGCGATATTCGTCTGTCTGTATATACGCGAACTAGTCCCTCAGTTATATGGTCGGCTAACTAGATTAGTTGAACATCGGTCACATACTAGTTGTAAGTTATTTATAACAGGCAAATTTTCTTACAGCGTGACTAATTATTAAGCTATTAAGAGTTGACTTATAAGATATATCCATTATGAGACCAGCTCCATCTATTCACATTTCGGTAAATGCATAAATGAGATGAGGTGAGGCTAACTAAATTGCTCATAAATTTAGCTCGGGAATGGCTAGTCATTTTAAAGTTTACTAAATCCAAATACAAAGTAGTTGAGAGTTCGTGTGCATAATAACTGTAAACAAAGAGAGTGAAACTGCCTAATAAAATAAATATGAATATGCGATATCGTTCTCGAAAAGGGTGAATTTAGTAGTATTATCCATTTGGAGCTCAGATCAAGCAACTTAACTTTCGATAGTTAGGTGCACGTAACCGGTATGGACCCACAATTAGATGCAATAAATATCTGCTGAATTATCCAAAGAATTTTTATGAAGATAATAATAATAAATATTCTCAACAAGTAAGGAAGTTCTTAGTTCGGGTGTAACCGAATATTTTATTCTCTCGCAACTTACAAAGATCAAAGCCGGGAAATTACTGCAGGTGTTGGCAAAATTTTATATTAAAGGAATTTAAAATGGTGTTATATGGGAATATGGCGTGGTTGTCACCCGATTTCCCCCTTTTTCACACTGTCGATAGAGGTGCTAAGAGCATTTGTTCCCAGTGCATTTCGTTTTTATAGCTTTAGCGGCTTATATGATATATATACATATACATAAAAATATCTATCTTATACACTTCGAAGATCTCTTGTTTCAGCTAATTAGCTGCTTTGTCCAAAATTCTATACCTAAGCTCTTACTGATCACAGATATCACCACTTTTATTATCTAGAATTTTGAAAACAATATTTAGTAAGTGAAAGCAGTGACTACCCTTTATCGTTGTTAGACATATTAATGATAAACAGAGGGCAAGTGTTTTGAAATGCCTTAGAAAATTATGTTGGTATTTAAAACCAAAACAAAACGCACATATACACATACATATGTATAATTTGCTGAGAAGCCAAAAGAGACCAAGAAAAAAGATTCTGAAATTTCGGAATTTATCTAGACTCAGCGCACGTCAGCCATGACTGTGCCTTGGGTAAAGATGCTCAGCTATAAAATTATAATCAGTTGCTAGAGGAAAATAATCTTTTTATAAAAAACCTCGGCAAATAAAATCAAAACAATTTATGCTCTTCATATCACTTTTCTAATGGAATATTTTTTAATCTGGTGTATGTGTATGAATGTGTATCTTGCTTGGAGTCGTGGTTTATTTTTAACAATTCATAACAATCTAAACATCTCTAGTGTGTATGTGTAGTTGTGTCGGGAAATACGAGTGCTTGCGTGGGTGGGGAGTGAGCACATATTGCTGCCTTCACTCAAGATCCACATACTTATGTTTAAATATATATTTTTATTGGTGCCTATGCTGTGCACATAAATTTGGATGAAGAAAAACTAATTTTCTTTAATTTAATATAGTGGCTGGCCATAAATACAAATGTTAATTTTTTTTCGTTTTATTTTTCTTATTTCAGAATTTATGGAAATGATGACTGGCGAATAAATATTTATTTTAATACCTAAATACTAGAAAGTTTTTCATCTTGTATATATACACCTAAATACAATTGTAGCTAAATACCTAATACACTCACACACAAATACACATGTAAATACCAGAACATCGAATGGCGGTATATTAACACCGCAATGGCAACCTTGCCAGAAAACAGATATGTACTTACGTATATAAACACATACACCTTATTTATTGTATAATGTAACAGAGCTTTGGCAAATAAATTTGTTTTATCTTCTTTTTGTAAAAAGTTTGCATGAGTTTATTTTTCCTTTCTGAGTTCTAAATTTTGTGGATAACTAAATTTCATTATCCCTCTATTTACTAGACCTTAATTTACTATATATTTGGAAATAAATCCCTGTGGCACCTATTACCTGTTACTTGGAGTATACAGATGCTGCTTGCCTTACGGAGTTGCGCCCATCCACATTAGGGAGATTTTACGGAACATTCTTATTTTGCGGGCTTACAAAATCCCACTAGAGCTGAAGCCGAACGATCATCAAGCGCGTCGCATGTTCGGTGAATGGGCCCAAATCGAGATGGCCACTGATTCCGATTTTCAAAAGAAAATTTTGTTCAGAAATAAAGCTCAATTTTGGTTGAATGGGAACTATAGGCAGAAGGGATCATTGGGAAACTATGGAGCCCTGATTAATAACTTTTTTTTGCCTGAATTGGAGGATGTAGAAGAGAACAAAACCAACAAAATGGCGCTGAATGCCAAACAGCTAACGAAACAACTAATTTATTGAAGAAAACTTTTGGCGAGCGCCTTATCTTGCGTCGTAGGCCTGTGGCATGACCTCCAAAATCAATGTTTAATAATTATATAAGCTGTAATTTTTTCGAGCCGGCCACTTGTCCGAAATCATTTTTAAAACACTAACCCTTATTATTATAATAAAGCTAAATTCTTGGCCATAACATTAAATTACTCCTATATACGTTTCATCATAGACATAAAACAATTAATTGGTAACAATGACATCCAACAAGTCCGCTTAACAGATTTATTTTTAGAAAAACATATACAACAAATTTATGTAATACATATGTACAAGTTTAATGACACGTCGCAACAATCCTAGATGTTGGAGAACTTTTGCAACTACTCAAAAATGAATGTGAGGTTCAATCACAAGCATAACGTCTTCCGAAAAAAAAACCAATCTATTAAGAAGAGTAATTAGCTATCTTATGAAATGAAAAGTAATTATTGAGTCTTCTGCGAATATTTGTGTATTCCATTACACAATCTCAATGCAACATAGTGATGCGAAAGGGTTTGTGGCTATGTCATAAAAATAAGAGGAACATCAATTTCAAATGACTGTACATGTAAAACATTTAGCGATTGCAAACTTACGTAACTGCCGAGTAAGTGAGTGTGTATGTGTGAATGCGTGAGAATTTCTATAAACACTAAATCGGTCTTTTGTATGAGCCAAACGTCGCATGTAAATATATGAAAGCAAAAACAACAACGGCTAAATGTAAACTTTCAACATGCAACATGTAGTACTGAGGCAAAAACAAAAAACGAACATGCAGCAGCTACAGTTATCCATCGATCACAGTGAAACAAATTGCGATCATTTCCGCTGTCGATTACTGATAACATCCATCAATGATTCTTCATCTTCGACTACATATTCATCACTTGCCACAAATGCGGCGGGGCGCATGTTGTAATGTAGCTCTCGCTTACAGTGTTGGCGGCCGATGTTCGCTGATTACCATTGGCAACATCAAAACCGATTGCAAAAGATCGTAATTTTTACTAAGCAACAACAAAACAATTTATCTATCAAAAGAGGATGCGAACTGAGAAATGCTTGCAAAAACAAAAAAAAAAACTTCTTGCCTCATTCGCTCTGCAATCGCGCAATCGCAACGAAAATGTCTTCTTACTCAGGCGCTCACTCACTCACCTACTTTTGAATTGACGAAAAATCATTGATCAGATTTATGTGCATTCCCGAACCCTGAGAAATGTTGCAAGTTGCAACCTCAAGTGCTCGCTTATGACGAAATGAATGCTTAACTGCAGTATGTATCTTGATAACATATAGTGGGGGGTACGTGTAACACATGTGAATTTAAGTGGGTGTAGGTGTATATGTGTGTGCGTGAAACACCGATTTTCTCGGTGATCGGTGTGGCCAACAAGTGATATGTTTACGATTGCTTACACAACTGTTGAAAATTTAGTTGTTTTGCTTAAAAATAAACCGTTGTTTGGTTATAATTTTCTTTATTTAATAACTTGTAGGTTTGCAAAACAGTTTTTATACCCTGAACAGGGTATGTTAGATTTGCAACGAAGTTTATAACACCCAGAAGAAAATGTCGGAGATCCTATAAAATATATATGCAATTGATTAGCATCATGATCTGTGTAGATTTTGGCATGTCCGTCCGTATGTCTGTACTTTCGCGAACTAGTCCCTCAGTTTATGAGATATCTATCTGAAATTTGGTTACGTCCTTTCCTCACCAAAAAGCTGCTCATATCTCCGAACCACCGATATCGGACCACCATAGCATATAGTTGCGATACAAACTGAACGATCGGAATAAAGTGCTTGTATTAAAAACGTTTTTACTTGTGAAGATATCTTTACAAAATTTGGCACGACTTTACAGTCTTCACAGTAATAGTTTAGGTATGGAAACATTTTTTACTTGAGAAGGGTATTATAGCTACGGTGCAACCGAAGTTAGCGTTTTTTCCAGTTATTTTCTATTATAGATTCTTTTTTGTGTACATATGTAATGCAAAGCGCTAATGGTTCTACCGGGCTAATTGTTTTTGTTTTACATTGTTTTACCAGGTACAAAGGGTTTCCAACTGACAAAATGATGCTCATAACTCATAAAACTTAACTTACTACTCAAATGAGATACATAAAATTTGCATATATCTAAATATATATACACATTTACACAGCCATATACATGTGTACATATGTATGTTTTTATATAAATAAATATATGTATATTTCATATATCCTACAAGTTGATCATTGTCGCATAGGTATATGTCTGCCAGGTGTAGTTGCTATTTGTTGTTGTTGTATAGGTTATGACACTTTACTAAAATATTGCTCACGTTCGCAAATCGTTGTTTATTGTTGTTGTTTTTGTTAATTGTTTGATTCTAACTACTATAAATATTTTTTACTTCCACGAAAATTTTAATATTTCAGACATTAGTTTAGGTGTTTTTCATGTACTACAAAGGTTGATGTAATATATTTACATACATACGAGTATGTTTCTTTGAGCATGTTAAAGAAAATTAAAATTGGTTGCCACACAAAATTTAGAGTCAAATTTTATTTCTTAAGTATTTTAGAAACGAAATCGTACACATGAGACTGAGCGGAGTGAAGTTGTGGAAAAAGCAAATTTTGTACCTATATGTAACTATTTTATTAAATTTAAATCTTAAATATTGTAGGCTCAGCATTAGAATTTGCCTTTAAATTTTAAATATATAGTTATGTTTCAAAAAAATTTAATAAAAGTGTAGCATTAATATGATAGTGCTACACGGATGTCATATAATTGCGAAGTAGTGTACATAATGTACATGATCTTGCTAAAACTGCAAAGTTTTATTTACTTTTCTATTGAAGAAATTGTATAATGGATATTGAGTCAATTATTTATTCAATTAAATTCTTAAATATTCCGGTATATTCCTTTGATACGAAGTTTGTGAATATCACAAATAAGATATAGAGACTCACCAATCATCAAAAATATCAGGAAAATGAGCAAAGTGGTTTGGTGATATCGCTATGGCTCCTTTATATTTCTTTAATGAACACGATCGCATCTAACTCCACAACGAAGAATCAATAGTTTGCATTAAATCTTGAGAAAGGTATATCTTAGAAATATATACTTTTTTTTTCGAGTAAAACAAAGAAAACTAACTGAGTAGTGTTTTAATAGAATGTAATACATATGATCGACGTGACTGCGTTATAAGAAGACCAACATATTGGCCACTTTTTACGCAATATTTTTATGATATCTGACCATATCATTAGATTATTCACAGCTGACTTCTCAGCATAGATCTTATACGTATCACGTAACTTGAAAAAAGTTGTTAAAATGTCAGTTTCAAAAGAACCAATTGAGAGATCGATTTTTTGGATTGCGTTATTTCTCCATAAGGAAATGTCCTTCATGGCTTATTGTAAATTCCTGCTGAACTCACTTAGCACTTGGTCGATTCAAATTGACTTTGGAAATCATAAAATCGTGGAAAACACGATCCGGATAGTCTCTTAAGGATTGTTCATACTGCTATTACGGAAATACTTAACCATCGAAACTTAATCTTAGCTGAAGGCAAATTGTCGGTAAAACCCTAAATATAAGAAGTTTTAGAATAAATCTCTCATGAAATGGAAATTCTATGGCTCGACAAAACACACAGTACATATGTACCGCACATATAGTACATAAAGTTTAAATTTTGCAAAAAACAATTTTTGTACTTTTAAAGCACTAGTATCCAGTCGAGTGCTCAAATAGTTTAAACATTTTCAGAATAAGAAACCTAGTAAAGGAACCTTATTTCACCTAAGTATCATTTGAACGCAATTAGACGGAGTATACGACAGATCTAGGGAGGGATCAAGGGATTCAAATTATACCAAAATTAATTATGGTACATAAGGAAAGTTTCTAGTAGTAATTGATCACTCTTTCCTCAAGGCTAGTTATGTACACAAGATTATGTATCATTTATTGAGCTAGTTGTATTAATATTTGGTGTAAATAATAATAAATATAGTTTACTTTTCTTTTTGTATAAGAATATTGAAGTAATGGTGTTTAAGTTTTCAACAAGCATGTTCAAAGAAGTGGCGTTTCGAATTGGCAGTGTCTTCCTCGTGCAATAAAAAAGCTAATTTACTCCGCATGTATTGTATAATATTATATATGTATGTGTGTACATAGTGCATTTACAGTTTTATGTGTGGCGGCGCTCGCTTGCACATTTTCAGTAATAAAATATTGAAAATAGCGCCACAACAGCACATGCAAAACATTTTTTTTAATGAACGAAAAAAAGAAATAATTGAATAACATTTAAAAAATTTTACTAATATGTCGTCATGCATTGTAGACTGACAATACGCTTGAAACCCAGCAAAATGCGTCAGAGATCGTTATCAAATTTGAACAAAAAAAAAAATCTTTTCGAACTTAAGAGCTCTA